CTGCTGCTGCTGCTGCTAAGAGAGGATCTGGAAAACTCTCCAAGCATTTGCATTTTGTTCTGGTGACACTGTTTTCAGAACTTCAATTAGCTCAATGGCGAAGCCAGAGCTTCTGGTACATTATCTTGCTGATGGCTTCTCTCTGGTTCCTGAGGCTCTACTTGCATTACCTTGGCCAGTGGCTTTTCCTCGAGGCCATTTCAACACCTGTTACCAAGTGAGTGCTTTCCCATGAAAGTCCACAAAATGTATTTTCATCTCCACAAGCCAAATGAAAGTCAAAACTCCTCTCTTGTCTGTTTATAAAAGGCCTGAGATGCAAGTATGATCTGAAAAAGCAAAAGAGAAAAGAAAAAGATGTCTTTGTATAAGAGCAAGACCTTCTTATTATAATTATCTTCTCATTTTATTGGCCTGTATTTACAAATACAAGGAGCTCTGGTAGCGTAGTGGTTACGAGTCAGGTTGCTAACTCAAGGTCAGCAGTTTGAAACTACCAGCTGGTCCGCAGGAGAAAGCTAAGGCTTTCTGCTCCTGTAAAGATTTACAGCCTTGGAGACCCTATGCAGGGTTGCTATGAGTCAAGACTGTCTCTATTCACACAACCACCACCATGCACAAATACCAAATGAGTACATCAGTATTTACTTAAATTTAGAAGATTCATATATGTTCTAATATCTGAGCAGGAGACACAAATTTAGCAACAATTTCCCATTACATTTTGATTTTATCAGAGTGACTTAGGTTGAAGGTATTTTAGAAGTAATACTGCAAGTCTGATGACTCTCCTGTACTCAGAGAAGTAGATTGCCTCTTCTGCAAAATGATGTATTTCAAACAATTACCAAACTCAAACCCAGTCAACTTCCTGGGTCATTATCCTTGGAAAAATATGACACTTCAAAGGTTATATCGCTCCATAACCATGATTCTATAGATAAACAGATAGATAGCAGTACAAGTAAAATTCATTTCCTCAAATGTAGATTGTTCTGATAAAAATAAGGTGTTTGCATGTTTTCCAATTAAGAAGACTGACATCAACTTTAAGGTTTTATAACAAAGAATATATGTGTGTATATTATATTTGCATGCACACATATACTTTTTGATGGTCTTCTTAAATTAAACCAGAGATATCTGAAAATGTTATAAAGCAGGCAAATATTTATACCCAAAATAGCTGTTGCTGGGTGGATTCTTAGCTGCACATTTCCTCCCCTACCCTAACCCTCCCTCCTTTCTTTCTCCCAATTCTTTTATGTGAGTCTTCCCAAAACATATGTTTGGGTTAGTTTCCTTTTGCTGTTTTCTCTTTTACATGGTTCTTTAATGGAAAAGGAAGTGATGCAATGGGTTAATGCACTGGACTGTAAATTCAGTTTGAACCACAAGGTCGGTGGTTCAAGCTCACCAGCTGCTTCTCAGAAACCCTAGACAGGGTCACTATGGGTCAGAACTGACTTGATGGCACTTAACAACAAAAGCGTATACATTCAGGCTGTTAGGTGCCATCAAGTCTGTTCCAACTCACAGCAACCCTATATATGACAGAATGAAACACTGCCTGTCCCATGCCATTCTCACACTGATTGCTTTGTTGTAGCCCATGGTCGCAGTCATTGTGCCTATCCCTCTCTTTGAGGGTTTTTCCTCTTTTTTGCTGACTCTCGATTTTGCTGAGCATGATGTCCTACTTCACAGATTGGTCTCTCCTGACATGTCCAAAGTAAATGAGACAAAGTCTCACCATCCTCACGTCTAAGGAGAATTTTGGCTGTTCATTCTTCTGGCAGTCAAGATTGTACATTCAAGATTTTTCACCAACATCATAATTCAAAGGCAACAGTTCTTCTTCAGTTTTCATTATTCGAGCTTTCACACACATACGAGGGAATTGGAGATACCAGGGATTGAGGCAGGTGCACCTTAGTCATCAAAATGACAACTTTGCTTTTTTAACACTTTAAAGAAGTCTGTGGCAGCAGATTTTCATAATGCAATAGTGCATTTGATTAATTGATTTACTGTTTACATGGGCATTGAGTTTGTATACAAGTAAAATGAAATTCTTGGCAACATAAATCTTTTCTCCACTTTTTAAGATGTTGCTTACTGGTGCAGCTGTGAGGATTTTGTTTTCTTTATGTTGAGGTGTGATTCATACTGAAGGCTGTAGACTTTGATCCTCATCAGTCAATGCTTCAAGGCATCATTACTTTCAGTGAACAATTCAGCTGCAAAAATATGTTGACAGCATAGTTTAGCCAAATACTTAAGCAACAAAGGAACTAAGGTATTGTAGGATATTTTTCTTGTCATTGTTTAAGTGAGAAGCATACATCAACTCAGTGTCACATCTTAGTTGTGACCTACACTGATAACAACAGCAATGATGAGCATTTCTTATATCAGGCACTGTATAAGCTGGCTAGTATTGCTCTAACAAAATACCACAAGCTGGATGGTTAAAAACATCAGAAATTACTATAGTAAAGGACTAAGAAAAAGAACCCTTACTAAAGGCGGGGTGGGGTTGGGGATTCTTTGCTGGTTACCAGGATGGGAGGGGTAAGGGGAAGGAGGGGAAGGTGGAGCCCAGGGTAGGGAATAGACACAGGATAGTTTGGCTGCTGCGGAGGGGGGCAACACACAAGAAGGGGAATGGAAATGGAAGAGCAAGGCGGATGGGAGAACACTTAAGCAGATTTGCATGGGCTAAGTAGGACAGAGGTAAATAATGATGTATGCACAATCTTGGAACAACAGGGCTCTGGAATACAGGGATTGAGGTATGGTTGGAATGGGCAAAACAGTGGAAATAATGTTAAGATGCTTGGCTGTCTTTGGAATCTCGGTTTCCCTTACATACCATTATAAAATAGACACTTGAGGGGGAGAGAAAGGAATAGCCAGAAATATCACCATAGAAAGCTTGTAA